CAACTCGATTTTTGAGTCGACTAAAAAAATTGACTTATCACATGCGGACGGTGGCAGGAGGGGAAGCGGCGACGCGTGCATGAAGAGATCGTATGGGTGAGGGAAGAGCAGTATGAGAGGGGGGCGAGGGGAGGGACATGGGGAGGGACATGGGGAGGGACATGGGGAGGGACATGGGGAGGGACATGGGGAGGGACATGGGGAGGGACATGGGGAGAGCCGGGACGAAAAGGGTTTCACGAAAAGTGTTAGGAGGGAGGGGAAGTGCAGGTGGCACTGAAGCGAGCCTAGGTGGATGGTTCTTGGGAATGTGGTTGAAAAGATGTAACTGAAAGATGTGAGGGATGGATGGCGAGTGGTAGGTGAGACAGTGGAAGATGTTGCGAGAGGAAGGGGGGATGTGTGGAGAGTGTACGATGATGGACCACACATGGAAGGATGTTGCGCTTGGAAGCCACAAAACGTTTTCATGCACACACACACACACACACACACACACACACACACACACATGCAGCAGCGGCAGCAGCACCTGAGTAGAGGAGGGCGAGGAGGGTGGTGCCAGCAGCGCTGTCAGGCGCACTTCCATGGGCGGACGCGACGAGGAGGAGGGGGAGGGGGAGGAAAAGGGGGAGGGGGAAGAGGAGGAGGAGGGTGGAGCAAGAGTGGGGGGTGGGGATGCGGCGGCAGAAGTCGAGGCGGCAGGGGTGGCTTGACTGGCAGTTGCAGTGCTGCTGGTGGTGGCATGTGGGAGAGTGGCATTGCAGTGGAGGAACTCCTTGATTGCCTGTGCAAAGGCGGACTTGATCACTGGGCGGAGACTCTGTGAAGGAGGGAGAGCGCGTGGGGAGTGGAGTGGAGTGGAGGGGATATAACGAGTGTGAGTGAGTGATGTGTGTTGAAATGTGAACAGGTGAATGTGAATGAGTGAGGAGGGAGTAACAGTTCCTCCGCGGGATATAGACGAGAAGAGTCCTGAGTGGTGAATGTGAGGAGTAGTAACAGTAGGAGGGAGGAAAAGCACGGGGCGGGTTTCGGGGAGAAAGGAAAGAACGGACGGGAGGAGGGAAGATTCGAAAAAGACTCACTTCAAACGTCAGTTGTGAATCAGCAGCAGCAGCAGCAGAAGCAGACGCAGTGTGCACAGGAGGTGCAGGGGCGTCAGGGGAATCCCTACAGCTATCCCTCCCCTTCTCCTGATGCCCACTGCTCTCCCCCGTCGCACCACCAGGCACCACTGCCAGACCCATCAGACCTGCTGACTCCACTGCTCAGACAAGACAAAGACAGCCATGGGAAAGGCAGGGTGGGGGTTTTCGAGTCGACTCAAAAGGCACCACTGCCAGACCAGACCCATCAGACCTGCTGACTCCACTGCTCAACCAAAAGAATTAGATGCATGGAGGAGGCATGATGGGGGCTGTGTTAGAGTCAAGAGGCTGTGCATGGTTGTGGGGTGCAGGACATGTGGTAACGGGCGATGGCAACAAGGGAGCAATAATGCACGAGACAAGATGAAGCTGGCAGATGCACCTAAAATATAAATCACCAAATCACCCAGTCGCTGCACTTACCCAGTCGCTGCACTCACCCAGTCGCTGCACGTGCATGTCGAATTCGAGCACGGAGTGAACACCCACTGTGCGCGCTGTGGTGTATGCACCTGCCATGACATGGGAACGGGACACTCTGTGAGTGTGTGTGTGTGTGTATGTGTGTGTGTATGTGTGTGTGTGTATGTGTGTGTGTATGTGTGTGTGTGTGTGTGTGTGTGTGTGTGTGTGTGTGTGTGTGTGTGTGTGTGTGTGTGTGTGTGTGTGTGCGTGTGTGCTGTGAGTGAGTGGTTAAACAGCGGGCCCTCCTTCCCTGCAGCTGCGGCAGATGAATGCAGGCATACATCACGTCTAGCGCCGTGAATTGTGCGTGTATTGTATATCCGTTACTCCCTGCTGATAGAACTATCGCTGTTGTGCATCATGATTTGCAATTAAACTGCGCCTGGCTTGATTCAACTGTTTAATCAAACAGGTATTTGAATGGTTCTGGTTCTTTCATCCTCACCTCGCGGGTAAGACCGCAGCAAATCAGCAGCCGACATCTGGCACACCTTCGCCACCCCATTCTGAACCAACACCGACCGAGGCGCCGCTGCTCCCGGCGCCGCCGGCTCCGCTCCCTGCGCTGCTGAAGCTACCTCTCGCACTGCTGGCGAATCAGCTGTCGCCGCGACAGCCATGTTCAAACGCGCCGATGCGGATGTGCGGACGCGATTCCCCGCACTACCCGCCGCTGAACGCGCTGAGAGCGGCACGTGGTGACCGACGAAAGACGCCGCGGATAAGAGATCTGGCGAAAAGGAAGGCCTAGTTGGGCTTGCGCAAATTTTCCGCAACCCGCGCGCGGATGGCCGAAACTGGGAAATGAAACCGCGCAACTGCAGAGGAATGGGGGGAAGTGTCGGAGAGCAATGGTGCAAGCTAGCCACTTGTCGGAGTATCATTGGTCGGCTGCGGTACCTCACGGCCCAGACGGGCCTCGGGACAGGGAAGGATGGAGTTAGAATCGGAAGCTGCTGACCGTACGATGATAGCGTGCGATGCGGGTTGGCGACGGACAGAGATTATGGGGACGAGAGAGAGGGCAAGGAATGCGCAGAGGGGCTCACGGAGATCTATCGAGTCGCATGCATTCGTGCGTGAAGAAAGAAAAGCAATCTTGAACTAAATCGCGACACACACGATGGACGTTGAATCCAAGAACCTGAAAGACGAATACGGGACTCTAGCTTCTTGAAAGTGTGGGTTGGTTGGCCGCATTGCATTGAATGGAGGAGTCGTCCATTTTTTGGTAGGCACAGTGAAGAGGGGAGGGAGGCGCGAAGAATGGATTTCAGTGTGACGTGGCGCTGCTTTGAGCAGACACGACTGGAATGACGCTTGATTGCGCCTCTCGTCCAACAGCGTATGGTACGATTCCCGTACGAATATTGAGATCGCTTGTGGTAACCTGATATCGATGATACAAGGCTAACAAGATGGCTTACGAATGCGGGTGCGATGTGAGGAGCTGAGAATATCATTATCGAAGAATTCGGGTCACCCTTAGCGGGTACATACCCAGTGAGGTGCGATTTACAAGAACGCATATTCTCTATCAAAAATGTGTGGCAGACGATTAGTATCCGAGAATCAGGTTATAGTCTCACAGCTAAAACAGAGGCATTCAATGCCGCTTAGTTTCGGTTTTTACACATAAATAAGTTATTATCACTTTTAATAGATAGAATTTTGTTTTGTGAGAGCAAGCTATAAATGCTTCCTACGTCCACAGCTGACTTTGTTGGTCTCCGTGTGTCTTAATTTAGAATCAGAACAGGTTCATTCAAACGAAGAAGCTCATTGTAAGGAAATTCCCTTTTCCTTACTTCGCATCTCTGCTCAACGCGTACATCACTGTAGCACCTCAGTCAGCACCGTTACCACTCGCGACCATCGCATCATTCATCATCCCGCCATTTTCGCACATCGCATCCCGACCTCACGGCTCGGCTGGTAACCCGCGCTCCGGGCCTACGCTTCGACACGTTCCCAACCTTAGTCCCAGGCTTGTTGCGCGACCATTACCGTTACCACTGTAGTTTCTCTATATATTCTTCGCTCATGCCTTCCCTCATTGTACTCTTGCTTCGATTGTGCAATTCTCGTTCGTTCACTCAATTGCACTCGTAACACTTGGTATTCAGAGCCTACGATCCCATCTCGGACCGCATCCGCACCTTCGCTTCCCCACTATCTCAATTTTTGGGGGGGGTAGACGTCTCTCAGCGATACAGCACCGCCGCTCGTAGTGCTCTCTCGCAAGCACGCACGGCCACGACCGAGGCTCTCGCTGAGCTTGCCCGACACCCCCGCCATGGCCGACTTCACGCTCGCCACATTGACGCAGGAGCAACTTGATCGTCTCGTGCGTCAACTGGAGGATTCGGCGCTTGAAATCGCGACCCTCACGGCGGAACGTGACTCCGCCCGTCAACAATCCACGATGAACATACCGACGACATTGAGAAAGTACGAACGAGAAGTGAATGACTATGAAAAAGAAGTGGGTACAAATAGGAAACCCTAATTGGGTTGTACCCCCTATGGGATACCCCACTATAGCCTACAGAAATAAGTAAGCTATATGTTCTAACACACCCCCATAGGCAAAGTGGGGGAGAACAAGGGGTCACAAGACCAGTCAAGCAAAGCAAAGCAAAGCTCAGGGTGGATCACAAAGTCACCACGCATTCCGAGCACAAGTTCAAAGGCCAGAAGGCCAGTTCACATGCAAGATCATATATAGAGATATACAAGAGTCAAGCAAGCAAGAGCAAGAGTATATATAGGTGAAGGTACAAGCAAGGTCAAGAGCAGAGCAAGTGAGGCAAGACAGGCACAAGACCCAACTGCGTGCAACAACGCTGATGATCACAAGGCGCAAGTGCCTTGGTGAAGACATCAGCAGTGTTGGCCTCAGAGGCCACGTACGCAAGTCGCAACTGTCCACGCTGCTGTAGCTCACGAGCAAGAAAGTAGCGGAGAGCAATGTGCTTCGTTCTGTGCTCCAGTCGCTGCTCTCGACACAAGGCCAGCATGGCCTTGTTGTCTACGTACAGGACTGGAGGAGAACGAGGCGGCTCTCCAAGGTCGGTCAGCAGGTAGGTGAGCCAGCGTAACTCCTGTGCAGCCATAGCCCCAGCGTAGATCTCAGCCTCACAACTGGAGCCGAGAACAGAAGACGAGCGGGTAGCCCGCCACGAGACAGAGCCGGAACCAAGGCTGAAGGAGTAACCCTGTGACGACCGCTGCGTAGCCTGGTCGTCAGCCCAAGAAGCGTCTGCGTGCCCAGTGAGGACCACTGGACTGCGCCCTCCAAGCACTAGCCCCATGCCCGACGTACTGCACAAGTAGCGCAACACCCTCTTTGCTGCAGCCATGTGCTCTGGTCGGTGTCTCCTAGGAGCAACAAAGCGTGCGAGAATGCTAAGAGGGTATGCGAGGTCAGGTCGTGTGCAGGTCATCAAGTACATGAGGCAGCCAACAAGCTCTGCAAACGGGCCACTCGACTCTACGGACTCATCCGAAGGCAGAGCTGAGAGTGAGTGGCGAGTAGGCAGAGGAGTGGCCTGAGGCGAGGAGTACGTGAAGCCGAAGCGCTGAAGGACCTGCTGCACCATGTGTGACTGAGTCAGGGTAATGGTGCGGCGTGCTCTATCCCGGGTGATCTGCAAGCCAAGGTAGCTGCGCAGTTCACCCAGGTCAGTGCACGTGTGTCTCTTCTGCAGCTCAGACTTCACGTAGGCGAGTCCAGCAGTGTCAGCTGTGGCAAAGACCAAGTCGTCGACGTACACGAGGATGTAGAACGGCGGCAGAGAGGTGTCGGTGCGCAGAAACAGCGACGGGTCGGCAGTAGAAGGAGCAAACCCAAGTGCCGCGAGCGTAGTCCTCAGTGTGTCGTGCCACTCACGTGGCGCCTGGCGGAGACCGTAGACTGGACGCCGGAGACTCCACTGGGTACCAGGAGGGAAAGACCCAGTGAAGCCAGGTGGGCGGCGCAGCCAGATCTCCTCGTGCAGGCTGCCCTGCAAGAAAGCTGTGCTGAAGTCGAGAGAGTGCAGCTCATAGTCACGGTGAGCAGCAACGTGCAGCAGAACCCGAAGAGTGGTCATCTTCGGGGTGGGGGAGAAGGTCTGGAAGTAGTCAACCCCCTGCCGCTGACTGAAGCCACGAGCCACGTAGCGCGCCTTGAAGACAGGCGGAGAACCCGGCGGCCGCTTCACCCTGAAAATCCACATGCCACTGACGATGTTCGCTCCAGGAGGGGGTACAGCGTCAACGTAGGTGCCTGTGGACTTCCAGGAAGCCATCTCTGCATCCATAGCTGCCTGCCACTGAGAGGAGTAGGGACCCTCTATCGCCTCCGCGTAAGAGCGCGGAGTCGGGATGTCTGGTGCATCCGGGTCTCCCTCAGGGGCTAGCAGTACAGACGCGAGACGAGGTGAAGCGGCAGCCAGACACTGGAACTCCTCCTGCCTGTCCTCAAGGACGTCCGTGCCAAGGGCACACTCACCCCCGACGGACGGAGGACAGGCGGACTCAGACTCAGTGACAAGACGAGCAGCGTAGTCGAGACGACAGCGCGCAGCAAAGTCGACAAGCTCAGTGACAAGGGCAGACGCAGCAGACGACTCGAAGGAAGGGTCAGTGACAGCAGTAGCAAGGAGACGCGTGACAGTAGGACTGGCAGCACGAAGAGAGTCCGACTCCGGGTCGGCAAGAGCAGGAAGAGAGGAAGCAGGAGGAGAAGGCAAAGGGGCACGCAGAGGAGCAGTGGACGGACGCAGCGACATCCGGTGCGTGCCAGGGACAGGAGGAGGACGCTGACGCGAACCGCGACCACTAGCGCGCGCAGGACGAACAGGCGACGCAGGACGAGACGCAGGCTCACGACGCTCAGTAAGACCTCCAGTCGGACCAGCGTAGGGAGAAGGAGCAGGCAAAGGGGAGGCAGGCTGTAGCTGTGGCTGTGACTGGACAGGCTGCGGACCCTCTACGGGAGGAGGAGAAGGTGTAAGACCAAGAACCTGCTGAAGGAGCGGAACGAAGTAAGGTCGGGGCCGCGCGGCGACGCTAGAAACAGCTTGAACAGCGCCAGCAGCCCCGGCCGGAGCACCCACTCCAGCAGCACCTCCAGCAGCACCACCAGAGGCCCCAGAAGCAGCACCAGGAGTACCCGCAGGCGGACCGCCAGCGGCAGGCTCAGCGACAACACCCTCAGCAGTACCAGCTCCAGGAGAACTCTCAGACCCAGCAGCTCCAACACCCAAAGGACGAGCACCGTCGGGACGCGCGACAGCAGTACCCTCTGCAGCCGAAGAACCACCAGCACCAGCAGCACGCCTCCAGCGCCTGGCAAACCACTCACGCAGCTCCGGTGGGGAGAGTGGCTCCCGGCGAGACGAAGCACCCCCAGGCTCAGCACCCCCAGGCTCAGTACCCCCAGGCTCAGCACCCCCAGGCTCAGCACCCCCAGGCACAGCACCCCCAGGCTCAGCACCCCCAGGCTCAGCACCCCCAGGCTTAGCACCCCCAGGCTCAGCACCCCCAGCAGCACCAGAGTCCCCAGTGACCTCGACAGGCTCGACCGCGTCTACCTGGGACACACCTGAAGGGGCAGGACCCTGAGGGGGGAGGGGGACTACCGGGGGGGGGCCTGGGACCAAGAAGAGCGGGGGTGGGGGGAGGGACGGAGTGCGGTAGGGGAAGAGGCGGTAGTAGGGTACCGACTTGTCGAACGTGACGTCCTGGGAGGACAGAACACGTCGAGAGGTGGGGTGGTAGAACTGCCACCCAGGGGCGTCGGGGGGGAACCCCAGGAAGACGCAGGGAGCAGCGCGAGGGGACAGCTTGTCCGCAGACAAGTCGCGGACAAACGCCCGAGATCCCCAGACCCGGAACG